CAACGATACACCACTGAGCATGCGCACTAAGCGAAATTCGTTAACATTGACCAATTCAATGTGCGGTTTGCCATTATGCCTCCGGGTATTCGAAACCGGGTTATTCAGGAGGGCGGGTTATTCAGGAGTCACTTTCCCATCTGGCCGGCACGTTTTTCAAAAGTTGAATCCTTATTATCCCTCAAGACTCATAAGAATAATCCTAATTATATAAGCTCCAGTTATCCGAAGTTCACCATTTTCTTACATGATCCTGCAATTGAAATGCGTTATTTTCCTTATGATTCATAAGCTTTGTCATAATACCATTAGAGGTGCCACAAAAATTCAAGCAAAAATTCCCACATAAAACAAGGCGATTAAGCCAACAGGAATATACAGAAAAGGTTCAAAATCTGGTTTGCACAGGTGATATATAAATAAAGCATATAAATAGGCACTTTCACAGCACTTTGTTAAGAAAAATGCAAAAGTTTGTTTATGAATATTCTTCTTCTTCTTGAAGCTTGGCTTCCCTTTGGCGCCTTATGTTCCAAATCAAAATGAATATTTTTAATGCAAAATTTCATTTATGAAGTGTTCGCAATGTTTCTAGAAATTGTTTGACCGATGCTGTAACCCTAATTTCAACACTCGGAACACATCCCTCTCCGGAAGATAACTCGCCAGCGTAACTTTAAAATTAGTGTGAAATAACTTACCTAGGCATAGATGTTTTCAAAGAATTTTTTTTTTTCAGAGGGGAAAAAATCGGCAGAAATGTTTTGCTTGCGAAGGAAAGAGACCCGCGTCTGATCGTTATCAAAATCAATACATTTACTTAAATTCTATGTCAAATCTAAATTTTTAGCGTAATTTTAAATCGTTAAAATCAAACCAAGCTACGCTTTATGACAAAACAAATCAACGCACCAAGAAGGAATCATCCGATTGTTTTGAAATTTCGTATGCATAAATGTTTTGACAAAATATGCAAATGATGAAACGGAGCGGAGAGAAAACGGTGTAGCACCAGGGTGCCTATGTTAACGTGAACCCTACCTCTTGTAGAATAAGTAAGCAATTGCGAATCATATCAAAAGGCAATAACTTGTAGTTGAAATGGGTCATATGAGTACTTACAAAATAATAATGTTTATTTTATTTATTTATTTTTTTATTATTATTTTTTTTACTTTAGTGGGTATTTTTCTAGAAAATAAGGGAGATTGCAATAGCATCTAAAGAAAGTGGTGCGTTCCGCAGATTAAATATAAAGCAAACTGGGAAAACTGATGAACTAGCGGGAACTGGTGATTATCCTGAAAATACACTTATAAATTAACTAGGCACAAAACATTGAGCAAATGTGAGTCTCACGATGCTTAATAGATTGAGGAAAGAGAACATATTGACTATTGACGCAAATCATACAATGAGAGAATACATATGCATAAATAATAGAATTAATCAATGTTATTACCGAGAATGGCTATCGGCCGCTTGTGATTTTGCACATTATTCACATCGTAATTGTAGACCCGAATAACTAGGTTATTCATATTAGTAAGGTTGTCATAAAATTTCCGGGCAAGCCGGCAGTAGTAATGTCTAAGCTCCTCAATTTGAAGCTCCTCGTGTATCTTCCTATTGCAGACATACCACGACGAGTTAGTAATCTATTATCTCCAGCGCATCGGAACTGTGCATCCAGCAGATGTATATAAGGAGCTGTTCTTGAACTGTTGTAAAAATTTTTGTTGCATTGCGATTTAGGATACCTTTCGAAGACTGAAAAAAATTACTTCCGCAGGATTTGAGCTCATTACGAGCAACTATCAGAGCTTGAAAGAGGTCGTATCATTGGATTGAAAGAGGCAGGTTGGGCAAATCGGAGAATCGCTCGACATATGAGTCGAAGCGATGCGGCGCTTAAAAGACGCTGGCAAAAATGGGTGGACAATGGCAGATTTGAGCGTCATGATGGTAGCGGTCCACCTAGGGCCACAGCAGATCGGGAGGACAGAGTGATTGTCAGATCAGCTGTCATGTCTGACTCATTGCTATCAACCATCAGATTTTGATTTCGAGAAAGTTCCAGAAAATTCCCGCGCGCGATTTAAAATCTTATAAAAGGAGAAAAACCTCTCAGTTCGGTATGGTTGTTAGTTTGTTGTTTTTTTAAGAGTTTGTTTAGAAAACTGCTCTTGTTGACTGCAGCGAATACTCGGATTAGCTTTCTTTAGCTGTTTTGAATTAAGTTCTCTTAAACGTTTGAGTAGTTAAGAGATAACTACTATGAGATATTGTAATACTGCACGAATAGCTGAGGAAATTTAAACATTTTTGTTGTGATAATAATAAATTTTATTCATTTTCATCGGACTTGTGCACTCATTTCGTAACGAACCCGTACGCACGCAACAATATTATAAAACGTAAGCAAATTTTGGTCGATTTTTAAAGCATATTTTATTCTTTTAAAATACATATATTTTCTTTACAGTATCCTATTGTATAATCTTTGCTGCACTGTCAGAATTTCATACCGTCATCCTAACGAGTTTCTTCTTCCCGCATCTTATGTATCAGCCCCTTCAGAATTTTTAATTTAATATAAAATGAAAACTTAAACTAAACTGGAGAACATTAAAATAAAATCGATAAACTGAATACGAAGACCGTTTTCGTAAGAATAATTGATACACTTTTAAGTAATCATATATTTAAAGCGAATAGGAAAACGGAATTTCTTTATCCGCTTTGGGACTTCATCAACAAATAAATGTCGGTAAGCACTTCAGTAAAATAGTCAACTTGTGATTAGCCTAGGTTGTTAAATCGGGTTGTACATTAACCATATCTTGTGTAAGCATAATTCGAAATCATTGTTATTAGACAGAATATCTACTGAGAAATAGCAATAGCTAATTCTCTAAGTCATTCTATTTTACTTTAAAAAATACGTACGACTGACATAAATAGGTACGTTACAGTAAGAACGTCTGTTATGATATGTACCTTCAAGCGTAAGTTACGTGTACGCGTAATAAGTTAAGAGTACGATTTTTCTTGCAATAAATGTTTGTTGCCTTTTTAAAAACGTCTTATCAATGATTAATTTGAATTGTGATGAAGTTAACATCTGTTTAAAACATTTTTTTTTTTTTTTTTTTTTCAGAACGATGGAATAACAATCATCGTAAAACAAAACTGTATGGAAAGTACAAAAACGGAACGAAAAGTCCTGGCAAAATGCTTTAATTTCTTATACTTAGTTCTTTGCCTTCCTTCCTATATTTACAGTGTCTATTTGAATGTGAGTACTGATTTCATTTGCGTGTGTAAAGAATTAACTCATCAGATTTAAACTTCTTGACAATACCGATCATTTGCTAACAGATGTTTTTTAATAACAACAACAGGGTTCTTTCTTTTACCCGTGCACTTTTAACTGTCCTTGGGTTAACTTTTATTTTGAGTTAACTGTGGATATTGTCTCCGGTTTTATCTCGGTAACTATGGAGTTAACAGTTTAAGAATCTTCAAACTGAAGCTTTTTATTTCTATTATGATACTTTTTTATAATCAATAGTAAGCTTTCTTGCTGATAAGATAAATACTACAACTGCTCGATTGGTTAAAACCCACGGACATTGGATCTTGGATTCCAGGAGAATGGGCTGATTGCATGGTTAGTTTTTGCGTCTTTCCCCATGTGTAACGCCAATACAAAGCAATTTCTCTCAGAAAATCCTCTGCAGAGGCATCTCTCCTCTTAGGTACATAGCCTTGTATGCTTTGCTATTCAACAAAGAGCATAGCCTAAACTTACTGAGGAAGTCTAAATTTTAACATTTTATTGTTAGTTTGTGTTTTTATTCTAATTTGTTTCGATTCCACAAAAAATGTGTCAATTTTAGTTAATTAATGTATAAGGTAGTTTTCCCGTCTCCTTGGCATGCCTTCTTGGTGTGGTGATCTGCACGCTAGGCGCGTATTCCAGAGGTCCGTGGTTCGATTCCCGGCGAAGGTGTTGCATATTTTTCATCACTCTTGCTTCCGAAATAAACCTAATTTCTCTACAACTATTTTAGTAAACTTTAATAAGCAAGTTGTTAGGTAATTCCCTCTAAAATAATAATATATTCTTTTCCTACACTTTTAATTCACTTTTTGACATCTCGTTCTTTAGCCCGTCTTAGCACAAAAAACCCTCTAAAATTCAACCTTACTCTAGGTTTAGTTTCATCCCCCCCCCAAAACAAGTAAAACCTCTCTACACATTTTGAAAGACAGAGTACTTTATGGTTTTTCATAAAGCAGAAATGTACAATTGCCAAAAAATTTATTATTACATTAGAATTGCCTTTTTCAAAAATAGAAATTTCGTTCCAGTCTTCTACTAAATGTATAGATTTCTTCCAAAAAATATTCACCAGAGTACATTTTGTAATCAATGTAAAATTCATCTTACAGTACATTTTACGCATTTAATTTGAGTACAGTTCAATATATTTAAATATAATCTGTAATAAAATTTTCAGACTTTTCTGTTGATCAAGACAGAAAACATTTTTTGAATTTTGATCCACAACAGCCTGACCCTTCTTCATTAGAATTAAAATTATTTTGTCTCACTGAAACACAACATTAGTCATCTGCGTTTTGAATAAATTGAGATTCTCGTTTTGTTGAAATAATTCAGATGTTAAGATTTAGAATTTCACTCTTGCTTATCATAAAAAATGATTAAACAGAGTTCCAAATTTATAACAACGACTAATAACGATTATAATAACGACTTTTTTATTTTCTTAAATTAGGTTCGAAAATTCATAAAAAATTGCTTCTTGAAACAGATAAGCTTGTAAATAGTGTTAAAAGTTTTATAAAAAAATAATTATTCAAAAAATTCGCTATATGAATTTATTTTATTACAGGTTCGACGAATTTTATTCTTTCGTACCACTTACTGTCATCGAGATGTCAATCAGTTTTGTACTAAATTAAATAACAGATTTCAGTTTTTGATGCTAAATTTATTAATTCAAATATAAAAATACAATAGCTCTACAAAAACATATAACAAAAAGGCAAGTATATACAGATAGATGACAATCGATACAGTGGCTTTATCGTAATCGGGCGTCACCTCAGCCAGCCAGCCAAGAAAGCTACTTGAACCGCCACCGTTGTTAACCTGGACATTTCACATATGAGCCATTAAGTGAACCGTTTATTTACCATAAGATTTGTGCTCTTAAGCAGCGTTATCAGTTACTTACAGATCTGAATGTTTAATCACATCAACAAAAACCTCCGACCACGTCAAAATCCAGGTATGTCGCGCTGTTTATTCTTTAAAGGTAATTTTATTACAGCATAATTGGTATTCGTTGTTAGGAACAATGTAGATTTTCGCTTCTGAAACTACTACAGCTAGTTTAAGGGTACGTGAAATTATTGTTAGCATAAAGTAATATGAGTAAAATTATTAAATTGCAAGTTTTATTAAAATTAGCTTGTTTAATTTAATATCTTGCATGTAGCTGCCTTGTTCCAAGTTAACTTTAAAATGGATTTATGTCTTTCACTGACGTCGAGCAATGATGAAGGTATTTCTGCTATACTATACATTTCTCACAGAGATCTCAGCACGATGCTCAAGCAGCTATATCATTGTAGTTGTGTTAGAAATAATCTTTATAAAGCATGTAATAATTTAATATAAATTGAGAGTCTCCAGAGAAGACTGAAGCAGAATTGTAGCTAAATATCCGTACATCATCAAATAGAACCTCTTCAGCTAAAGACATAGCCTACGATAATCGACTTCAAAAAGACTTGTTAAGCCTTAAACCTTAAATTATCTCATTTGTAAAATAACTGTGTTAAACGTGAGTGAGTGAGTGATTATGGCCCAAAATAACTGTGTTAAAAAGCTATTGAAAAATTTAAGTATTGCAAAATCAGACACTTTATATAGCATAAAATTTCAGTCTCAATACGTGCGAGTACAAGTAGGAATTTAGGTATCTTCGATAAGCGCATTAAATAGCATATCTTCGATAAGCGCATTTAATAGCATATCTTCGATAAGCTCATTACCTGGCACTAAGATATAAATATCTTAGCGTCAGGTAATCTCATCATACTTTAAGAACACTTACTAGCTAAAATTTCCAAATATGAGATCTGTGTGAGAATTATCAGCTAGCATACGTTAATGATTATTTAATTCAGATTCCGTTTTGCTGTCATAAAATACCTTTAATCTCATTATGAAAACATTTGCTTGAAACTGAATACGTGTTTTATTTCAGTGTGCGTTCCAAAATGTATGTCAGGCAATTGGTTTTACCCTTTTTTCTCAACCTCTGAATGGCCGAGGCGGAGGACGAGCTTGAGGTTGTGCAACTGGCCTGAAAATGGCCTGAGCAGCTCGTCCAGGAGTAACAGCTGCTGCTCTCGCAACATCTTGTTCGTTGTGGAACGGTACATTTGGTCCAGCTCCGATGTTGGCATTCAGGTAGAAGAAGTCACGTGCACTTCCACAAGGTACTGAATCCTCGGGATAAGCGCAGGTGAAAGAGAATTGGTTGAAGACTGTCTGGTTTCCGCAAAGGAAAGACCACTGAAGCATTTCTGAGGTACCATCAGGATGAACAACTGTATGGCAGACGTGGAAGATCTGGCAGTTGTTGTCTAGATCAGCATAATAGCCGTCAGTGCTGCAGACGAATGTTGTTCTTACGCCGCCAACAAGCAGTTCAGCGCCATCAGGAAGATCATAAGCTGCTCGCTTTGACTAATAAAAAAAGTCAAGCATAAGAAATGACTTGCTTATTACAAAAAATATAAATGAAGGAAGATTACTTTTTTATGTATTGAAGCCATTTGGTAGAGTATGCAATCAGCAAGGAATAGAAAAACAAATCAACATGGTTTGCCATTTCCTTTAAGTAGCAAATTTTAAATATTCATAGTATTTATACATTTTTTAGCATTATTTAATGGAGGGACATGCAAGTCCCAGCCCTTCGCAAGAGTTTAAAGATAAGAATATTTGATTTCTTGACATGGCTGCTTTCGCAAAGCAAGGAACAGGAAAACAAATCAACATGGTTTGCCATTTCCTTTAAGTAACAATTTAAATATTCATAATATGTATACATTTTTTAGCCTTGTTTAATGGAGGGACATGTACGTCCCAGCCCTTCGCAAGAGTTTAAAGCTAAGAATATTTGATTTCTTGACATGGCTGCTTTCGCAAAGCAAGGAACAGAAAAACAAATCAACATGGTTTGCCATTTCTTTTAAGTAGCAAATTTTAAATATTCATAATATTTATAAATTTTTTAGCCTTATTTAATGGAGGGCCATGTAAGTCCCAGCCCTTCGTAAGAGTTTAAAGCTAAGAATATTTGATTTCTTGACATGGCTGCTTTCGCAAAGCAAGGAACAGAAAAAACAAATCAACATTGTTTGCCATTTCCTTTAAGTAGTAAATTTTAAATATTCATAGTATTTATACATTTTTTAGCATTATTGAATAGAGGGACTGTAAGCTCCAGCCCTTTCACAAGAGTTTAAAGCTAAGAATATTTGATTTCTTGACATGGCTGCTTTCGCAAAGCAAGGAACAGAAAAACAAATCAACATGGTTTGCCATTTCCTTTAAGTAGTAAATTTTAAATATTCATAGTATTTATACATTGTTTAGCCTTATTTAAGGAGGGACATGCAGTCCCAGCCCTTCGCAAGAGTTTAAAGCTAAGAATATTTGATTTCTTGCATGGCTGCTTTCGCAAGCAGGAACAGGAAAAAATCAACAATGGTTTGCCATTTCCTTTAAGAGTAATTTTTAATTTCATAATATGTATACATTTTTTAGCCTTGTTTAATGGAGGGACATGTACGTCCCAGCCCTTCGCAAGAGTTTAAGCTAGAATATTGATTTCTTGACATGGCTGCTTCGCAAAGCAAGGAACAGAAACAAATCAACATGGTTTGCATTTCTTTTAAGTAAATTTTAAATATCATAATTTTAAAATTTTTTAGCCTTATTTAATGGAGGGCCATGTAAGCAGCCCTTCGTAAGAGTTTAAAGCTAATAATATTTGTTCTTGTGGCGCTTCGCAAAGCAAGGAACAGAAAAAAACACAATCAACATTGTTGCCATTCCTTTAAGTAGTATTTTAAATATTCATAGTATTATACATTTTTTAATTATTGAATGGGGAATGTAAGCTCCAGCCCTTCACAAGAGTTTAAAGCTAAGAATATTGAATTTCTTGACCGCTTTGCAAGCAAGGAACAAAAAAACAAATCAATGGTTTGCCATTTCCTTTAAGTAGTAAATTTTAATATCATAGTATTTATACATTGTTGCCTTATTAAAGGAGGACATGTAAGTCCCCAGCCCTTCGCAAAAGTTTTAAAGCTAGAATATTTGATTTTGCTGGCTGCTTTTTCGCAAAGCAAGGAAAAGAAAACAAAATCATCAACATGGTTGTCATTTCCTTTAAGTAGTAAATTTTAAATATTCATAGTATTTATACATTTTTTAGCATTATTTAATAGAGGGACATGTAAGTCCCAGCCCTTCACAAGAGTTTAAAGCTAAGAATATTTGATTTCTTGACATGGCTGCTTTTACGATTTTCAAACATTACAATTAAAAAATCCTCTGCGCCATTTGCAACATTTCTAGGTTTAATACACAATATATTTTTTTCAAAGTTCTTGGTAGTGATATGAAATAATGAACATTTTATTATATTTTGGAGTAGATATTCATGAATGAAACATCATTAAAATCAAAATTTGAAATAGATTTGATTTGGTTAGTCTCATTTAATACGTTGGTCATTAGATAAGATTTTAGTTTGCATTTCTAATAATATTATTACAAATGCTGTCGAATTTTCCATCCAAAACTAATGAAAATAAAATTGACCGATAAGCTTTCCTTTCAGCTTAAAGAACCGCTGGTGTTTTAATGTGAAGGATTACTAACGGGAGTGTGAGGATGTCATAGAGAAATTTAAACTGAAAAAAGGTTTTACACATACATATTATTTTATTTTATATATTTGTTCATTGAAAATGATCCTTGGTCGATGGTATGAGAAATAAGATACATAGTTTAAAATGCCTGCAGTTATATTCCTAGTAAATAAATGAATTGCCAAGTGTACTTGGATAGTTACTTGCCAGCGTATTGAGATTAAAATGATATTTCATAAAATCAAATGCCTTTTCGTTTCGTTTGACGGCTACATTGAAATCTCTCATCATAATAACGGGAGCATCTGCATTTACAGTAAACTTTTCATTCATCAATAAAGTAGTCTAAGAATATTTCATAGATCTTCTAAACGAGAACATCTTCAAATCTACTTTATATTAACAGTTGAATGAATGTTATACGGATGCTAGAATAATTCTTGACTATCCATTAAGAATTACTTACATCCACTATATAAATATAGCTTGCTTCTCAATTCTGTATTTTCTTACTCTACTTAACACTAAATTCTGTTAGAATACAATCTGCTACACTCTTCATATTTACATAAATTGCGACACTACTAGTTGGCGAAATAAATGAACTACAGTAAACAGCGAAACACACTGACTGTCTACCGGTAGACCTTGCCAGTCACAGGAGGTGACGCATATACACGAAGCTTTGACGTCACCAAAATTTCACTATTTTTGAAGGGTTTACTATGCGTATACCCTTTTTCCAAATTTATTTTTTGTTTGTTTGCATGTTTGCTTTCTGTATTTGCTAATGGGCTCTTTTAATTCACGCACACCTCAAATAGCGTTTTTATTTTCCCATCAGACGTTTGGTTTGGTTTATTAGATTACGGCAAAGCACTCGAGGGCTATCTGCCTTAAGGGAGGGATGCCTTCGTGGAGGACTTTTTAAGGAAAACTGGCTCGTATACACGTTACACATGGGAGAACCACGAAAACACCCATGCAGTCAGCCCGTTCGCGGGATTCGAACCTCGGACCGAACTATTAGTGTTCAGCAACGTTACCGCTCGGCCACTGGTGGGCCCCCATCAGACGATTATAGAAGAACGTAATCATACCTTAGAAAGTTACGTTAAACTTAGTCGGAATGTGGAAGTTAAGATTTACTTCTGAATTTAAAATGAATAGAATCGTTTGTTGATACTGCTTTACTAAATGAATTTTAAGAATGGCTTCATGTTTCCGTTTATTTATTAATTAGTAGTATAACGCTTTAAGAATGACAGGAAAATATTTTTTGTTTTTATAGTTCATAAAACTGAACTAATAAGCATATTTTATCACGAGATTTACAAACAAACACAGAATTCAAAGTTTTATTCTGCAAGTTTCGTTATGAACTCGGAAAATTTTATTCTCTTAAATTTAAAAGAATAACAATTAAATTTTATTAATATTTATGAGTTTGCAAATACTGGTTAATTTTTGCTGATTAAATCATTCAAACTATTTTCAAATTACATTTTAATGCAGACTTTAGAAACAGCACTTAGTTTGATCACTGTAAAGAAAACAGAAAAATTTGTAAACTATTATACCTGATTTAGAACTACAATATTAGATTAACAAATTTTAAGCTAATTTATAAAAAATTATACTAGTTTACAAAAATTTGTAACTAATTTTTCTATGAATAGCTGCCTTTATTAGATTTGTCTCTCCTTTAAAACTTTTTCAACATATAAACATTCAAGATATATTTTTATAATATCATAGCTCTATAAAGTATGTTTTACTTACTCTTGATGCAGCTAGTGCCAAAGTCAAACCACATAAAACTGAAAAATAAATATAGTGATCATTTTCCAATATTTTACATTTAACGAATAAAAGGACAATATCAAATAAGAATTTTTTAGCACTGAATCATACAAGTATTAATTTATTAGAAAAAAATCAGCTGAAATGGCCCTAATTTTTTTTATATTGCAGAACAAAAATCATGCAATATTTACTTAAGTATTGTAATCACGAAAAATTCCGGGTACCATATTTCAATGCGGATTTTTCTATCCAAAACGAATTCCGAAAAGGATTGAAAATGGATTCAGAAGAGTTTTGTTTTCGTGATGTCTATACGTACGTATGTATGTTTCTCGCATAACTCAAAAAGGAGTAGCCTCAGAACGTTGAAATTTTGTATACAGGACTGCTATAACATGTAGTTGTGCGCCTCTCATTTTGGTTGCAATAGGCCGCACCAAACGTAAATATATATATACTCACTCTGTTACTTGTCTCCGTGAGTTCAGTTTTTTTTAATTCTTATATGATATTTTTTGCTTTAAAATGATTACGTTATATTGTTCTTATCTTTCGTTTAATGTTTTTTATGCATTTAGTTAATATGCATGCAATAGTTCTAGAATAATTAACAATTTAAAAGTTTCTTAAGAGCAGCCAAGTTTTTACTATAGCAGCCATATTTGTTTACATTTGAAACTTAGCAGAGCAATGAGGTAAGTCAGCTTGTACACCTTCATGGTCCTTTTGCCAAGAGGAACCAAAAGTAAGTTTTCAATTTTGTGCACAGAAAAATCTGGCTTCTTGCTCGCTGGTCGAATTGCTTGTTTTTGGGAAGAAACTCTAATTTTAATTGTAAATATTGTTTTAACTATATTTTGTGTTTTATATTTTTCTACATTTTTCAATTTTTAATAAAGGTATGTTGAGGTTTTATGTAGTTTTGCCTTGTCGAGAAATGAGAACTAAATTGATGGAATGAGAAATCTATCTCTAATGAAATTCAAGGAAATACTTTTAAATGAAATGCAGCAAAAAAGGTGCATAATTGAATATTCTATACAAGGAAGTCATGTGGTGTCCGTATCAGATTTTTTTAAAAAATATTAATTATTTTTATTTATAAATATTAATTTACCCCACAGATTGTGAAACTGCCAATTCTCTTTCTATTTTATTAGACATCAAATCCAAATTTTAACATAATTTAGAAGAAGAATTCGCAATACAATTGGTAGAAGAAGATTTAATTTTAAAATCTAGATATTCATAATTGCCTTCTTGATTGATTTATGTCTCATGATTCCAGTTCGAAAAGAAAAATAAAAGTAAGCAAGTTTAAAAGTATAACAGCTTTTGTTATGTATCTACCGTAGTAAAAATCCTCAAATTTTAAATTTTTATAAGCCACCTTTTAGAAACAAAATTTCAATACGTCTTTCTTTGTCCTACTAAAAATATTTTAAGCAAAAAAAAAGTATATATATATAAATAAAACCTGCAAGCTTTCAGATTTTACATTAAGTCCAAAAGGACGTTTTTTACGTGTGTTACCTTTATTTATTAAATATGATGTTCTTCCCGCTTAAACCATGAAATTTAATTCAACAGCAATGTCGCAAAATAATTTTAAAATGAGCATATCTTTAGAATTTCCGATAAACAGTATCTTGCGCTTTTTTCAGTAGAGTGCTGCCATTGCTCGCTTTGAAATCGCTGTGTTTGTTGATCAAACATTCGTTAAAAGTTACAAGATAAAAATAAGAAAGCGATCATAAAACAAATTTCAAATTCCAAATTCCGGCTTCCAGATGCCGGTATTCGGGTGGAAATATATGTTATTCAAAATTCGACGGCTCTAGGCACCGTTATTTTATTACAGTGCGAGAAACATACATACATTTATGCAGATTCTTCATTATTTAGTTTCTTTAAATACAATACAGGGCTGTAATATTTGGTGGCAACAATCTGAAAAGTGAATCAGCGCAGAAAGTGAATCGACGCAAAATGCCAAAATGAAATTAATAGCCTCTTCTGGGCTAAAAAAAAATCTGATTCTTCAACATACAAAACTGATTCTGCCAAAAATTGTCAAAATTATATGAAAAGCCATTTTACGAAAAAGAGAAAAAGCAATTCCAAAATGGAGTTTTTAGGAATCGTAAAAACGTATTCATGTTATGAACTCTTTTAATCAAATACCTGCAAGATGATTATCAACAACTTTGCCCCAAAATTAATTACATGATTTCAGATGCCGGAATTATTATTTCTTTTAATATATTTAAAACATTACATTTATTGCTCGCTAATGATTAAGCAATCATACGGGATTTCGCAGTTCAGTAGTTTAAACTTTATCTTTCAAGATTTTATAGCTACTAGTTACATTAACTACAAATTAATATTAATTCTACTCTGTACTTATTTATTATTAAATGGGACAGAATAATGCAAAAGTTGCGAATTTGTATAAAAATTTTAATTGTAACTTACCTAAAGCAATTGAGATTTTCATGTCTGTGGATGAGACTGCGTATCTCGAATCAGCTGCAATCATATAAACTTGCATTATTGGCGTATAAAAGTTTATATTATTAATTAAAATTTTTAATTAGCATAGAAATGGCACATAAATGATAAAAATGAATAAACAGCATCATAGTTTGAATAGTATAAAATATCTGTGTTTTTCAAATAACAATTTTTACTTCTTTGTACGAAGCAAAAGGAGTATTGCAACTGCCAAAAATTTCGGTTGTCAGATTTCAAAGGAAATATTCATTTGACGGTTCCTCAATCCATTTTGACTATTTTTTTGCGTGACATCTGTACGTACAGATAGAATGAAGCACTCCTTTTCCAAAAGTGTACTGTAAAACGGATTTACAATGGATTAAAAATGAATTTTTTTCGTGACGTCTGTACGTACGTACATATGTATATATCTCGCATATTTCAAAAACAATTAGCCATAGAACTTTGAAATTTTGTATGTGGGACTGCTATAACATGTAGTTGTACACCTCCTCTTCTAACTGCAATCGGCAGCATTTAAAGAATATACATCTAACCAAAGCCCTTAAAAGTCCTAACTCGGCTTTTATTTTCGCGAACGTTGGTCGTAGTATATATATAGTCGTGGTCAATAACAAAAGTGTTTTAAATGACGAAACATTTATCTTTTTAGCAAGGTCAAATTAAAAAAAAATTAATTTTGGACAAATATCGAAATCTAACTTTTTATGCCGTTCCTAGTTATACTGGATGTGAAAAATAAAATTTATCAGATGTTTTTACTTCCGTTCAACAAAAATGGACCATCATATTTAATTTGAAATTTTGGAATTTTTGATGCCATTTTCAACTTAAGAGACTAGTCCAAAGTTATAATTCCAAGAAATAAGTTTATGTGAAGTGCAGCAAAACGTGTGCATAATTTAAAAGGCCGTACAAGTAAGTCATGGGCTGTACAAATCAGATTTTTTGTGATTTACTGTTCTGTTCATATTAGAAAATTTATGGAATGAAAAACACTTTTTTCTCATTTACTGTTTCCAAAATTTTAAATATTAAAAGAAAGACATATTCTGATAATGCCAGGCTTTAAAGCACTCAATATATCTTAATTAGGAAGATTTTAGTTTTTGCTGTTTTTATTATATTATAAGTATTTGTTATAATAAAATTATGTATTATACTCAAAATGTTACAAACAAAAGTTTGTAATTTTTTATTGTCGACCAATTCTATATAAAATCTACTACACTATAACGGTCTCCAATACATGAAATAATGAATTTATCATTGTTTGAATAAAGGAAAGTGAAATATATCTATTATAATAATACAATTAACCCTGTATAATATAACCACGATTCCAGACAGAACGATGGACTTTCTAGTTGCTAGTTTGACGTACTAACAACTTACGCCACGAGAGCACGCAGAGGAAAAAAGGATGCGATGATTCTTTACAAAACGTGCTACCAAACACTCCTTTACATACTGTATCCCTTTCATAAAATCTGTATTTCACTTATCATTATAAATAATATTTTGCGCTTCTAGCAAAAATCTACGAAGAAGTTAATAAAAGAAAGAACAATGAGGGAAATGAAATAGCTTATACATTTAAAAAAAATTGAAAAGAATATTTTTAAGTTCCGAAGTTTATAATTCGAAGAAATAAGTTTAAATGGAGAGCAGCAAAAAATGTGTATAATTTAAATGCCTGTACAAGGAAAGCATGTGTTCCAAATCATGATGTTCCAAATCAGATTTTTTGTGTTTTACTGTGCTGCTCATAAGTTATGGAACGAAAATCATTTAAAATTATTCTAGCTTAATTAACCGACTCCTCAAAGTAAGTTGAAAATGACATCAAGAATTGCAATTTTCCAAAATTGCCTTTTTGTAGTACTAAGTCTTAATTTTTTGAAATGTTATTTTTTCACAGCGAGTATAAAACTTTCCCAAATACAAGTATAAGAAGCGAAAGACCGAAATAATTTAAAGTTATATTTCGTTATTTGTCGATTTATTTTTAAATTTGACTTGAATTTAATAAATTCGCCAAAATATGAGTACTACTTTAGTCATTTAAAACACTTCTGTAACTGGAAGTACATGATTACGACCAAGGATTGCGAAAAGCACAACTAGATATTATTGCAGTCCCGTGTACAAATTTTCAACATTCTTTGACTAGTCATTTTTGAGTTATACGAGATACATACTGTTCGTATGTACAGACGTTACGCAAAAAGTCATCCAAATGAATTCGGGAACGGTCAAAATGGATATTTGCGTTGAAATACAATTCCCGATAATTTTCGCAATTAAAATACTGCCTTTACTTCGTGCAAGGATGTAAAAAAAATCACTAACTATTAATCATTCATTCCAAAGGAAGAAATTTTGTTATACAGTATCTAATTAGTTTTGTAAAACGTTTACATTATTTAAAACGATGAGAGGTTTAGGAAACGATCTCTTGTTTAGTGTACTTTAGGGAACAGAAAGATGGTGCGAAAACCAGTTCAAAAATATATATATTATTCTTAAACAGCGATAATTGTGTATCGAAAAATGATACGAAATCCATCTATAATTACCAATCTTGCTTAGAGAGCGATGAAACCGATAATATAGCACTTCTTGAAAAATCCACTTTTTATAAAATTTGCAAATTGCCGTGACTTAATCTTTAAGGCCTTATAAGACGTTTTCTCCCTCCTTTATGCATACCTTCGTGGTGTAACTGTAGCACACTCGGCACGTATTCGAGAGGTCCAGGTTCGAGTGACAGCGAAGGCATTGCTCATTTTTCATGCATTCCTGCTTTAAAATAACCCAATGACTCCAGTGGTTCCGAACTAAAAGGTGGTTGATGATGATTCTTCACCACCAGAATTTGGAGATTGGTCCCCAGTCGCTCTTTAAAAAGGAGGAGTATATAAGGTATTTTCTTCCTGCTTTCTGCATGCCTTCGTGGTGTAATGGTAGTACACTCGACGCGTATTCGAGAGGTCCAGGTTCGAGTCTCGGTGAGGGCTTTGCTCATTTTGCATGTCTCCTGCTTCAGAAATAACCTAATAAATCTAACCTCTTGCAACAAGTTGAGTTTCAAATCCCTAATTCTTCTACCTAAATACATTGTTCAAAATACTAAACAAACCACCGTTAACTGTTAAAAAGTGTTAAAAAAATTAGAATTGTTTTCCGAACGGAAGAGGAGTTCGAATTGAGATAAAGCAAAGGGTTTTGAATCCAGTGTGTGAAGTATGTATAGTTCCACTCTTTGGACGAGGAATGGTAAAATACAAATATTACATTATTTAAGTTATTTATGTTAGAGACGTTATATTATTTCGTTAAAGACATTATTTACGTCTTTTGCAAAAAAAAAAAAAAAAAGTATTCTTAAGAGATAAAAATGTAAACTGAATGTTTAAACATCGTACGCTTTTAAGATTCATAGCTATGTTCTGCTACTTATTAGACCATTCTTAGTGATTAAGTTCTGGAGCTGCAAATCCATAACTCTGAAAGCCATTCCACTAAGAAGCGAGTTACTGTTCCACCAAGGAGTTTAATCAGATATTCGGTGTAGGAGGACATCATACAGCAGGAAACGGTTTCCGACTAAAACTAGGCCAAGAAGATTTAAAAAATTGGCTAATCTTTGGAATATGGTAACAGGTAGTTTGGCGACATTTTGGTAAGGCGATAAAGGTTACTAGCTAGGACTTTAGCAGTGTACATGGATAAAGTCAAGAGTGTGCGCAATGCCATTTTGTGCAATTCTGGGATGTTTTTTTTTAAGTGAATATAGGTCGACTTGTACATGGATACCGTGTATGTGCAATTCTTAAAAACGCGGCAAGCAGTTTGAAATTCTACACTTTCTCCCAATTTCGCACCTAATCTTTGTCATGATTAAGCACTTTTGTTCCATAAAAGTTCTAGCATAAGCGTAATTCGGCTAGCAGATTGTTGGAAAAAAAATGTTGAGTTAAAAAAAAAATGCCTTTACTTCGTGAAAACAAAAAGCGTCCAAACAAAAACTAGCAGGTTGCTGTTTTTGTGGTTTTAGTTTTTTGGGTTGGTCGCCAAATTTCGCCAAAAAATCGCCAAGTTACTATAATCCAAAAATTAAACTTAAAATTTAGTGATCAAACCCGGGCTTATTGCGAAATCCATGATTTAGCTTCAGATTATGAAATTAATAATTCAAATTTAATTTACCATTGATTTTATGCCAAATTTGAAATGTTAATATTTTACACTAACATCTAATAATCCATACGCTACATTTAATACGCTATCCCCATATTATTTAACATATTCAAACTTCGGTTAAATTATTTAACATATCTAATTAGACTTATGTCGAAGGTAATCACAGAAATCAATTGGAAAAATAAAGCAGTTTTTCCAACAAAGCTTACATAGATCGTGATACATCTTCTAGCCTCGGAATATTTTAAAGATATTTCCTTTGATCCAAAAGTGTATACGAGCCAGTTTCCCTTAGAAAGTCCTCCACGAAGGCATCCCTCCTCTTAGGCAGATAGCCCTCGAGGCTTTGCCATAATCACAACCACACACACGTGAATCACACATCACATCTTTGATCCTAAGCTCTGAAGCAAAGTGGTTTTTAATTTATTAGGCAAATTTTATTAAAAAATTTGCTTACTTTTTGATTTATTTAATTTGAAATATTTATTTTAACAGCTATCTGGAAATTATGAATTATAAATGTTGCTACAGTGTTTCGGAAATTCAAAAATTCAACTATCTGTTCTCAGTGCAAATTAGGCAACCTTTGAATAGCTAAATAATGGTATCCGTTTTTCAGCCATAGCTCTTCATAATATAATCTAACATCAAAATGGTTATAGACAGTAAATAAAAGTACAGAAGCTTTCAATAAAAAGCTATAAAAACTGAGAAGAGAACTAAAAACAACATACTAAAGAAATTGCTGCAAAACTGAGAACAACAAACTAAAATTTTCTTAAGGGAAACTGGAAAATTTACTCACCAATTCAATGCAATTTTACGCGAAAGTTAAATTAATTAAATCATTAAGACAACAAAGCTTAAATGAGTGTTTTAAATTAGATTTTAAAAATGGTAATTTGTTCCTTACGTTTACATTGATAACATTTTCTTAAAGAATTTCTTTTTAAATTTTATGAGAATTTTTTTATAAAAGTTTTTCCGAGTGATATATTAAGATATACTATTCAATAAAATGCCATAAAAACTGAGAAGCGGACTAAAAATAACATACTAAAGAAATTGCTGCAAAACTCAGAACAACAAACTAAAATTTTCGTTAAGGAAACAAGAAAATTTACTCACTAGTTCAATGCAATTTTACACGAACGTTAAATTAATTAAATCATTAAGACAACAAAGCTTAAATGAGTGCCTAAAATTAGATTTTAAAAATGGTTATTTGTTCCTTACGTTACATTTATAATATTTTCTTAAAGAATTTCTTTTTAAATTTTATGAGAATTTTTTTTAAAAGTTTTCCGAGTCATATATTAAGATATACTAATTATATATAAAAAATAAAAATACGAAACCTCAGTTGTTTTTATCAATTTTGTACAAAGATTAGGCATAAACTTCTTTTATTCCGTATGACTGCTGGTAAAATTATTTCTCTCCATAAAGAATGAATGATATTATTATTTCTTTCCATAAAGAATGAATGGTATTATTATCCATAATATTCACATTCAACTCACGCTAACAAAACTCTTTCACCCAGTATGTTCAGATAGGCAATGAATAAATTGAAATCCACTAGAATAAGATTCATACTTACCAATGAATGAATCTCAGGATCAAAGGATATACGGATGCTGGACATGCTTACCCCCGCATTTTATAGCGGAATTCAAGAGAGGGGGTCACCTGACGAAACGGGTTACTCGACCAATGAGAGCATGGATGCGGAGCGCCCACAACAACTGTGTCAGACGATCTTCCTCGTCTGCATGATGCGGGGAAGTTGGAAAAAGATGAAAAGAAGGAATCCCTTTTATTTTTTGAAGAACCCTGAATTGGATTCTTGGAACCCTGGATTGGACCCTGGATTTCTTGGGATTCCGGTGATGAGTCTTGCAGTTCAAGGCTGTCTTCATAGTCATTTTATCATTTTTCTGATCTAACTTGGTGAGAGAGAAGAAAGAGAAAGGAATGCCGACTTCTGATGATGGCGGTTTTGGAGGAGAAGAAAAGGAATTGTTTCTGTACAACTTGTTTGGTTCTTAAGTTTTACAAGTTGCTTTCTCAGTTTTCATTGGAGCGTGAAGGTGAAGATTTCAGCAGCAAAATGTGTGATTAGAAGATCACGTTATTCATTTTTTTTTTTTTTTTTTTTTTTTTTTTTTTTTTTTTCGTTCTTACCACATTCTTCTAAAAGGCTGATAATGATGATATCATCTAATTATTTTGGCTATTTTTTATGCCTGGTTTTCAGTTATAATTATCTGAAATTTATTGTTACTAACCTCTAGTTTGTCAACTTTTACTTTCGAATTTTATAATCATTTAATGAAAGATTAATAATAGATAATTTTTAACAATAATAGATAATTTTTAACCATTAAGGGGACTCATATACCTTAAACCCCTTATTATCTTCGAATATGTGACTGTTGCAAGAATTGGGATATTTTATTTATTTTAAAGCAATTACTTCCAACTTTTTTTACAGCTGCCTACATATATAGCTGCTTTAGAAACTAGTAAAACCAGAAGTGTGTGGTCCACAAATATTTTTGTAATTTAATCCGCTTTGCGACAAAAAGTTTTCGTCATTTACCCTTGCGCGCATGATATTTTAAAAATGGCTAATGGTACATACATGAAATTGGATGGAATTTTTATACGGGCACTATTTTCTACCTGAACCCAAAATCTGATGAATATTTTTAGTATTAAAAAAATTATGCGTGAAAACATTACAGATTTTTTAAATAAAATATATTTTATAAACTCAACTCCAAATAAAATAAAAATTTAGCATGAAATTCTTAGAATTTTAGGTTCACAGTAGTTTCCAAATGTTATTAAAGCTATATATTAAATATGGAATTAAATTATGAAACAGAATGTTTTAAAACTGTGCGCGCAAGGTGGAAACATGGCGAAACATTTTGTCACAAAGCGGATTAAATTATAAAAGTATTTGTGGCAACACAAACTTTCTGATAACTTTTTCAGAAAGCAGCTATATTATGTAGTCAGTTGTAAAACGTTGGAAGTATTTGCTTTTAAAATAAATAAGTTATCTCAATTCTTGCAACAGTCACATATTCGAAGATCTTATGGGTTTTAAGGTGTATGAGTCCGCTTAATAATATATAATTTAAATTTCTTAATTTTATAAAAGTTGCAGCATATGGGCTTTTAATAGCACATTTCATGTTGGAAAGGCTGTTATGGTCTTAGCTACTTGAAAAATTCTAAACGCAAGTTCAGACCCTTATAAAACATACAACAGTCTTTTCTTTCCTTCAGCCGGGCCCACCAGCGGCCGAGCGGTAAAGTCGCTGAACACTGGTAGTTCGGTCCGAGGTTCGAATCCTGCGAACGGGCTGACTGCATGGGCGTTTTCGTGGTTTTCCCCATGTGTAACGTGTATACGAGCCAGTTTCCCTTAGAAAGTCCTCCACGAAGGCATCCCTCCCCTTAGGCAGATAGCCCTCGAGGCTTTGCCATAATCACACACTCACACACACACACACACACTTTCCTTCAGCCACTTTTCAGCCCTAGAACCTCCTTTAAAAGTACCGGGTATTAGTCTGGTAGTTGCTAAAGAAGTGCATGGCTTCAACATTAAAAAGTGAATCTTGCGTTTGCCCGAAATGAAGAAGATAATCCTTAGCTTTCACCTTCCGAACTGAAATAACGTAATAAATAAATAATATATATAACTAAAATAACGTTTTCGATCCAAAAATTCGATTATGAAGTTCCTGCGAATAAGCTCAAATTAGAGTCCCCTCAACAACTTTTGACTATTTATACAATGCTGTTTTTGTGTATGTATGTGTATGACGACTTTTTTCGTTCACAATAACTCTCATATGAAACTTCCAAAAATTTTATTTTTTTCTCTAAAAAAGAGGGAAAATGAATTGGAAAGTTTTCTAAAATATCTCCATGAAAAACAGAGAAAAAATAATATTTTTCTGGTGTGTTCTATATAGTCATAGAATTAAACGTCAGTGGATAAGTTGAAGGAACGTATCTTTGTAATGTTTCATACATCGGTATAAATTATAAATTTCAATTCATATATCGTTCTAAAGCATTTTAAAAATTTTTAATCTCAACTTCTGAAAGCTCTTTCAATAGATATAATGTAGAAGATGCTTATTCATTTCGTAGCACTTCACTTGTCTGTTCTGAATCAATTTCAGGAATAATTTAGTCAAGCTTCCCTGTAATTAAAGTGCAATTTTTTATGGCAGTAGAAATTACCTTAAATGTAGAATTAAAATTACGCAGATGTTAAGAGAAAATTAAAGTAAACCAGCACAAGAAAAGCTAAAAAGAAAAAACGAACATGAAAGAAGAGGAATCCAATCAACTCCAACAGAACGTAGTCAGGAGGAGGATACGTTGAAATTAATTGCATATATATATACGTCTGATTGGGCTGATTGCAATGAAAAAGGGAGGTGCACAACTACATGTTATCGCATTCCCATTTACAAAATTTCAACGTTCTTACGGCTACTTATTTTTGAGTTACGTGATATGCATACGTACGTACGTACAGATATCACAGAAAGAATCTTTCCTGAATCCATTTCATATCCATGTTATAATCTCTTTAGGAAAAAAGATTCCTTTCTTCCGTTTGTACGTACAAATTTTCCTAACAGTATCGTTCAAATGGAGTCCAGAAGGATCAAAATGTATATTTTCGTTGAAATATGATACCTGAAAATTTTTACGGTTACAGATTATAATACAATCGTACAAGGAAGTAATATATATTTATATATATATATATGTTGTATGATCTTAAATTCATTTAGTGCGAAACAAGTTACTACTACTTGCGCAATTGCTGCAAAGTTATTATAATTTATTTCCTAAACATATTGATTAATTGATTATATTATCTCCTAAGTTTAATTAAAGTAGAATTATTTTAAAAGAGTGAATCCATACTGGTAAGTTATATTTCGAAAGATGTTTTGAAGTAATTTGAAAGCAAAATGTTAAAATGTTTTTAACGGGGACTAGAGTTAATCATCATGAATAAAATTTCAATTGTAAAAGGAAAATTAAAAAACATGTAATCATTGTCATTGATCGGAAATTAATTGACTTTTCAAGGGGAACAAACCAACTCCCGTTCAATAACAATAATTGATAAAAATACGTAAATACGAAGGTGTTTCGTCTTTACTCGAGTTATAAGTTAAGCCAAACCGGCATTCTAGTCAGGCCAATATTTCCGGAATAAAGGGATGAATGAAAGCTGATATTCAAGCAAGACTTATTATCTTATGAAGCATTTTAGTCATTCAATTTGAGTGAAAAGCAAATTTCTGAGTAAATTCGATATGCCGAGTAACCGTCCCCGACACCTTCGTGTTTATGCATTGAGTTCTATATTATTTGTAAAATTAAACATTGAAAATTCTCATTATGAAATCGAATTCAAAGTAGTTGAAATAAACATAGAAGATTAAAATAAGATAAATAATGCATCAAATTTGTAAAAACAAATCAAAATATATAAAATAAAATATAATAAGAAAGTGAATTACATAAGATAAAGGCCAGAAAAGTATTACACTTACGTTCGTTCTAGTGGGGAGTGGGCCACCAGCGGCCGAGCGGTAAAGTCGCTGAAACTGGTAGTTCGGTCCGAGGTTCGAATCCCGCGAACGGGCTGGCTGCATGGGCGTTTTCGTGGTTTTCCCCATGTGTAACGTGTATACGAGCCAGTTTCCTTAGAAAGTCCTCCACGAAGGCCATCCCTCCTCTTAGGCAGATAGCCCTCGAGGCTTTGCCATAATCACACACACCACTTTAGGGGAGTGGCAAAGTTTCCTTCGCGCTGACTCAGAAGTGTAGTGGTTTCTCGTATTTTTTCTTAATTATTGTTCTTGAACTGAGTTGGTTTGTTCTCGTTGAAAGTCACTAATTCCGATCAATGACATGATACATCTTTAATTTTTTCTTGCTTTAATTTTCCTTTACAATTGAATTTTGTTATTCATGATTTAATCCAGTCCCGTTAAAACATTTTTAACATTTACTTTCAAGTTACTCAAACGCCTTTCAAAATATAATTTCTAGTATGAGTAGGATTCCTCTTTTAGAATCCTACTAAAATTAAACTTAGGTGATAATATAATCAATTATCATTATGATTTATAAAAATATATATATATATATATATTCTTCAAGGATTTTAATAAATGCTGCTAGTGTCATTTCACGGATCCTATTAAAATAGATTAAGAAATAAGTTTATTTCCTTTAAATCACTTACTTTATTAATCAGTAAAAAGGCGGATTAAATTTTATTATGCCTCTGGTTTTCTTGTTGTGCCTCTGGTTTTCTTGTTGTGCCTCTGTTTTCTTAATTGTGCCTCTGGTCTCTTGAAAATTAGGTCCCTCTAAGGGCAGATCCACCGCGGTTGATAAATTCTGGAAAGTAATGAAAGAAAAATGGAGATCAATACACTTGGATATTTTACAAAAGCACTTCTGTCATGGAAATCACGATGTAGACATATAATCCAGAAAAAAGGTTGTGAGATACGATATTTAAAAAAATACTTTTTACAGTTTTAAAATTAATTAAATGACTCGGAAATCATTTTTAAATATGTAAACACCCTCCGTAGATAG